AATACTGCATTAAAATATTGTTTACCTTCACTATTGAGCTTTTTGATTGCCCCTAAAAATTGGCATCCATGGGCCTCCCAGGGCACAGCAGGTTGAGCACAAAGCTGTCCACAGTGCAGGTTCGATTCCCGGCCAGCTAGGGAGATTCCCGCATGGCGGGGTAGACCTCTTCTGCCTCACCCGCTGCTCCTCTCAGCAGTGTGTTTCCGTCCATTTGCCTGTTGTGCTCCCTGCTCTGTCTCTGGCGAATCCTCTCACCCTCCCGCGCCTCTGGCCTGTGCCCTGGTTCTGGTATAAAAATAAATAAATCTTCAAAAAAAAATTGGCACCCACGCTGACAGCCTCACTCTCCCCACCCCGGTCTTAGGCCTGAGAATTAGACACCTAAATTGAGTGAGTTTAGTCACTTAAAAATTGGAGTTAACCAGATGGAAAAAGAAGGGGAGGCGTTGTAGAAAGAGGACACAGCACACGCAAAGGCAAAGGGGATAGAAACAGCCAGGGTGTGCGTGGCCAACTCGAAGCCATTTGGTGCTTCTGCAGAGAGACGAGCTAGAGTCAGACATTTCCAGCCCCTGTGAAGTGATGCGAGTTCTCCCGCATGTCCCAAAATGGAGAGTGGCATGGGGCCTATATACTCCTTGGCCAGTCTCCTGGCAAGCTAGAGCAGACCGAAATCATAAATTGTAAAAGTAGGGTCCTCATCCTTGCTTCGGCACACGGTAAGCATTTGGGGAACAAATCCTTTGAGGGTAATCCTCTCTTCTGCAAAGCCAAGCTCCAACCCCTCCAGACTAAGCTAGGTCCCCACTACGCGTGCATTTCCCAAGCTGTGGCCTCAGATGGTGTCTAGTCATGGTTTTGCCTTGGAGGAGCGAAGGGGATCTTTCAACCCTATGGTAGCTTTTATTATACAACCCCAATTCTCCATGCCCCCTAAATCCAGCCCTTTGTCCTGGGATTCTGTCATTTTTCCCGTGAGAAGGTAGAGTATAGATCCCTGCCGTTCGGTCTGAGTTTGGTCCTGTGACTTCCTTAAAAAGCAGTTGCATCGGGCCTCCCTGGTGGTGCAGCGGTTGAGCACTGGGTTGCGAAGCTGCCTGCAGCCTCTGCAGCGCAGGTTCGGTCCCCGGCTGCTCCCCGGCCACCAGCCGAGGGTCCCACATGGCGCGCAGACCTCTCCTGCCGCCCGCTGCTCCCCTCAGCAGTGTACTTCGGTCCCTCTGCCTGCTCTGCTCCCCGTTCTGGCTCTGGTGAATTCTCTCACCCTTCCGCGTTCTGACTGTACACAGTGCTTGTAAGTATAAATAAATAAATAAATCTTAAAAAAAAAAAAAAGCAGTTGCATCGCTGGGCTTTTCCTGGCCAGCGCCATCAGAACACGCTCAGGCTATCCTGCAGGAGGACGAAACACGAAGATTTAGGGGGCTGCAGTCATCCCAGCTGAAGTCACATTAAATTAACCAGCAGCCAGACGACCCAGCTCAGATCAGCCAAGCTAAATCCAGCCCAGCCGGGATCAGCCCCACCCCATGTGCTCTTGGGGCTGGTCATCAGATTTTTTGACCATCCCATACCCTTTCTGTGAACCTTCTCAAGTCTCTTACATGGAAACCATATACATGTATCTCAGTTTGTGTTAGTCAAGAATCATTCAGTGGTAACAAAAAAACTCAAATGATAATGGCTTATACAAATGAGAAGTATATTTCTCTCTCAAATTCAGGTGGGAAGCAGGACAGAGCTGGTGTGCACTTGCAGTTGGAGCCCAGGTTCCTATGATATTGTTGCTCAATCCACATGGGAATTCCCATTGCCAAGTTACCTCACCGTTCACAACAGTTTCCGGGGCTCCAACTATCGCATCCACATTCAAGCCATCGGAGAGGCTGCTCATTTATCAGAATTTGCTCCTATCACCTCTCTGTATCCCTTTGCAGAACCAATATGGTCACCAAGAGCAACATGGCCGCACTTCACTTCTAGGAAAGATGGGGTCGGTGCCCTCCCCTCTCTGGGGTAACACATGCTCAGAGAAAAATCGGAGTTACTTTATGAAGGAAAGGAGGGCTGCCAGCGGTTCTTCCCACACAGTACAATGTCATGTTATTCATCATCATCATCATCATTCAATCAATTTTCTTTCCAGCAAATAGAAGCTGACCACAGAGGGGAGCTAGAACCCAAAGCTCGAAGGCAGGGCACCCAAACTGTAGTCTCAGTTCTATCTTTATTATTATTTTTTTAAGATTTATTTATTTATGCATACAAGAGCTGGGGTACAGGCCAGAGGTGTGTGTCAGGAGGTGTGAGAGAATCCACCAGAGACAGAGTGGGGAACAGAACAGGCAGACTGTCTGAAATACACTGCTGAGGGGAGCAGCGGGTGAGACAGGAGAGGTCTGCTGTGCCATGTGGGTAGCTCCCTGGCCGGGAATCGAACTTATGCTGCAGTAGCTGTGGACAGCTTCATAGGTTGTGTCTCAACCCCTTGCGCCACCAGGGAGGCCCTCAGTTCTGTCTTTAACTGTGTGACCTTGGAAAAGACTCTGAACATCTCTGGGCTGGTTTTAAACTGTCTAAAATCAAATCCCAGTACAGCCAGAGAGCCCTACGGGTATTTACAGCACATTGCCCACTCAGGTTTTCCCTGCCTAGCTCCTTTGGTTCTTTAGGCCTCAACTCGGAGTGCTTCCTCTGCGAGGCCTGCCTTGATGCGTCCCTGCCTTCATCATGCTCTGCGCCCTCCCCCACCCCCATAATCACACACAGTGTTGGTTCTTGTCCATCGCAGCACTGTGAGTGGCTGGGTGTTTCTTGGCGTGCTTATTGATCAGGTGGCTGTTACATGGCCGTGAGCTCTGCGAGGGCAAGACACCGTCCCTGGTCCATCTCTGTATCCCCAACACCGTGCAAGGTGTCTGGCACGTAGGAGCAGCTCAATAAATGCCTGCGGATGGATGGATGAATGATTGAAGTGTCGAACATGTGTGGGCGTGGATTCCACCCCTAAGAATATACACTTTAGAAGGAAATTCTTAAAAGGCAGAACATTAAATTTACTGTGAATTTAGGGGGAGCATTCTCTCTGAGTGGGGAAGCGAGAATATTTTCTTGTGGCATTTTCTTTACAGAGAAAACCCTTATCTGTCTGCTTCTGGAAACTCCGGGCAGGCACCCAATGTCAGGGCTTGTGGCCCACGGGTCCTGGTCCAGTTCTCAGCCCGGGCAACATTCCCACGCCGTAGAGGCATTAGAAGCTGACAGTTTGAACACGCAAACTCAGCAACAGTGACACTCAGGTGCTCTGTCACCTGGCCCCCTCCCTCCTCACCACCACCTCTTACTCCAGTGACCAAACCCCTCCTGGCTGATGCCCACGAAAGGCCTTCTGGGGTTTCCTCTGTCCTTCTCAGCTGTGGCAGAGGCCTGATTTCAGGTCAGCCTCCCAGTGACCATCCGGGCCCCTCAGAGCTGACACTGCTCATGCCAGGTCCAGATCATTTGGCTCATGGCCCCACACTATTCCCCACCCCAATGTTGCCTGGTGGTAAAAAGAGTCCCAGTAAGGGCCTCCTGCTCCCCCACCTCCCGCCCATGAGTCCTCTCCTCATACACGTCGTGAGGGGCTTTCAGTTGAAGCAGTGGGGGCAGAGGCAGCCAGAGAACAATGGGGCCCGGCCGAGGGGGGAGTCGGTGGGGTTCCCTGGCTGCCTTGTCATCGCCATAAACCTCATTACCTCGCGGTCCCCTAGGCCGCCTCTCTCCTTACCCAAGGCATCCGCCGGCTTCGCTGCTGATTCCCACACGGCGTGAAAAGCTCTTAAACCCCCCGCTGTATTTTTAATGGGGGCAGTGACTAATTTAGCCCTACGCCACCAACCGTCAAATCAAATCTTCTATTGGTACTTACTGAGGACTCACCTGGGCTCCATGGGGTTCAGGATAAATCCAGAGCTGGTGAGGGCCCGGCGACAGTGGTCTGGCCAGCCCGGGATGTGTTGGGCCTGTTTGGTCGTGGCGTTGTCCAAAGGACAGCCTGGCTGTGCGCAGCATCCAGCCCGGTCTGTGACCAGCCACACTTTGGGGGACACTGATGCCCACTCGGAGGCATTCCCCTAAAATAGCCAAATCTCCAGGGGAGCTTCAAATCACATTCCATGGCTTTCAGCTTCCGGAGACCAGAGCCCTAAATTCTAAGGGTGATTGCTCCATTCTGCCCAACACCGGCAAGAGTCTGCTCTGCGATTCGCAGATGTAAAATGAAAATCCCCACCCACCATAAGAGAAAGTTTCCTGAGGTGCAGAGTGGGGAACTCTTACTGGTCACCAGAAGCCCCCCAATATGACAGTCGGAAGATGCTGGGAGTAACTGCTCCAAATTCCACGCCCGTGACTTCGTGCTACATTATAATTAGGTGCAATCTGTCTGCCTATTTCGTTTCCGCTCTGCAGAGGGTAATAACCAATTTGTTGCCCCTTGTGAAAAGTTAACAAGGAAGGGCTTCCCCGTGCATGTTTTGAAGCCCTGGTCTCTGCTTGCAAGTCAGCCAAGCCCCAGCTTGACAGAGGGAGAACACCGTGGGGGAGACGCTGGGTGGGTCCCGGGTTGCTAGTAGAGCCAGGAGGTGAGGCAAGCAAGGCACCTGGGGTACATGATGGCAGGAGATACCCATTCTCAGGGTTTGCAAGAGCAGTGGGCTCCGAGGCTTTGCACGTAGGCCTCGCGTTGCCCCTGCCACGGGGTCCTGGCCTCCCATGTCCCAGCGGTCTCTGTGGTTGGAAACCTGCTCCCACCTGGCTCTTCTCAACAGCTCCAGCCCCAGATTTTATGGAGCAGGGGAGGTGCCCCCAGCTCCTGTCACATCCCCAGGCCCCGGCCATAACTACCGATAGAATCCAAGCCCTAGTGGTGAGGTAAGTGTTAACCATGTGACTACCACCCCCCAGGACCTGGGAGAGTCATCCTGGAAGGGGAGAAATAAGGGAAGACTGTGGGCTAGCCCACTAATGCTTGGGTCTCGGTCTCCCCATTGATAAGTGAGAAGACCCCAATATTTCAAGTTTAAGCGTTCTCTCCACTGTGACTCCTGTGACCCCCGGCAGCTCAGCTGGACTGGTGCGCGCGTGGAAGGTGACAATGCTTCCTCTTTGCCCCGGGAAAGTTGTGGGTCTGTTGTGTGCAGGTGCCCACGGGCACGTGCGTTCCCATGGGAACTTACACCGGGATACCCCCATGGGTGAGCACAGCCCCCCCCCCGCCCCCATCGCAGCCCGGGGCCAGGGAGGAGAGAACCAGGCAGCCGATGCTAATCGCGTGATTCCCTTTATTGAACTGTACTAGTTACTGCAGTCAGATTAAGTCACATTTAAAAGCAGACCATCCAGTTGCACTGAAACCGATTATATTCATTACATAGTTTTAATCACTGTCCGGTGAACTGGCAAATCCAATCAAAGCATTAGTCTTTAATTAAAAAATTAAAAGGAAATATTCAGACAATAGCCAAGCAATCACATCACGATGCACAATTACCTAGAATTGCAATTAAAAAGTAGTTAACCGAAGGGGGGGGAAAGAAAAACAAGAAAGGAAAAAAAAGAAGCAAAGAAAAAAAAAAATCACACTAATCCATTTTTAAAAACTATCAATATAATACATGAAGGAACAAAGGACAATAGCCTCCAAAAGCGGGTTTCTCTAACTCTAGAAATGTAGTCTGCGGCTGAAACTCTAAAAGCACACTAGTTGTAGCAGGACAATAAAAAATACTGAGCATGGAATACTTTTAATCTCTGCCATTAATATTCATTTCCAGCTGCTTATAATAGCAGCGCCTCATGGCCAAATCATTAGAGTTTTACATCTGGGTTGCAAATGACACTTTGATTGGATGTAATGTTCAAATGGCCCTCCCCACGGCGTCTCCGGCAAGCCTTCTGCGGAGAGGTGTCCTGTCGAGCGGTCCCTCACTGTGCGTGCTGGCTCATCGTGTGGTTCTGCAAAGGCGAAGAAAGGAGACACGCATGAGGGCAGAAGAATGGAGAGCATGCCTGTCCCCTCCCACTCGGTGCATTTACGCCGAGAGCCACAGAAAGCGTCGCGATCATTACAAAACAAAATGCAACAAGGAAAAAGTGCTCTGGGGACGCAGCTGCCAAGATGCCACGTTGATTTGGGGCTTGGGGATAGGTTCCTGTTGCTGCCAACCTGGGCTCCCTATAAATTGTTTTTTTAAGACCATTTCAGGTCTTACCACAGGGACCAGCTAGATGGAGGTTATAAGGGGAAATGCTGGGGAGGTAGCAGGAATACAAATCACCCCCCTTCACTCCTCCGTCTCCCTTTTGCTCTAATGATGAGGAGGAAATTCTATCTGATCGCCCGCAGCCTTCCCCCAGACCTCCCTCTTGGTCCTTCCCGGGAGCTGCTCTGAGCTCAGTGGAGGGAGACAGCAGATGTGCCTCGCCGCTCCCTGGCCAAGAAACGCCAGAGGAGCACAGACGTGCCGGGGCAGTGGGCAGCCACGGTGCCTGCAGCCCAGGCGGGGGACCGTCACCCGGCGGGAGGGTGCAGGAGGAGGGAGCCTGTTCAGTCACATGACAGGTCTCCAGCCTGAAGAACATGGCACGGTTTGGCCAAATCCACCTGGGAATCTGGGGCCCAGGTAGGACCCTCTGGCCCAACGCTCCCCTCTCTCTACACCCTGTGCCAGCGCGAGCAGGCCAGCAGTGTCATGTGTTTTCAGAGGAGCCAGCAGCCTGGGGCTGGGGGTGGGATTTGGCCTCTAAGAGCTTAGTCTTTTTGTTTCTTTTCAGTGGTCCCTGTTCCAAATTCAGACCAATCTCATCAAAGCTTCGGGTGCTGTTTGACCTCGTGACACCTGCAGAAAGGAAGCAAAATTTGCCCGGAGGAGCAGCCCTGCTTGGGGCACAGGTCACCCAATGCCCGGGAGCAGTGTCTCAGGGCTGCACCTGCCTCCCCAGACCTGGCGCTCTCGCCAGCACAGGCTCCGCTGGGGCTGGAGTCGCTGCCTGCAGTTCTCCCAATGACCACCAGGGGTCAGATGTGGCGCTGCGAGTCTCTCCCCGGCTCCAGGTCAGGGCTGCCAGGGCCCGAGGATGCCAGATGCTCTGCCAGGAGCAGGGGCCACCTCATTCTCCTCTCCCTGACCCAGTAACCCGTGACAGCCCTTCCCACGGCTGCCACCTCTGTGATGATGTCACCTGCCCTCGGGTGAGCTCAGGGCCAGGGAGGGCCAGCACCCATGCCCAGTGACGCCCAGCACAGACCAGCGCTGCTGCCTCCTCCCCTGGCTCCTGGGCCTGGGCCACAGGTGAGGGTTTGGCAGGCGCACGTGCCGTGTGCAGCTGCCGCAGGCCTCTCTTTCCGTCCTCACACGCTATAAAGTAGGACATGGGCGATGAGGACAAGGAGGCATAGCGAGGCTCCGTTACTGGCCCACAGGAGGGGTCAAATCAGGAAAGTGGAATCTAAGAGAGCCAGGGGCTCGGGAGAGAGGCAGGCTTCCCTGGAACCCAATGGGCACCCCACCCCCACATCCACGCTCTGCACCCCGCTCTGCCAATGTGACCCACACCTCAGCGGGGTTGTCACGGACCCAGAGGCACAAGGCGGGTTGTCTGAGACCACACACAGGATGTGGGCAGTTTCCTGGGGACACCCACCCTCCGGCGGAGACTCTCCCTGCAATCATGCCAGGGCAGCTGGTGGTCCCAAGGGCGCTGAACCCACCCCCATCACACCATCGGGGGCCACGGGGGAGGCCGGGGTCAGTTTTGACTGTGGACAATGGAGACACTGAGTGGCCCTGAGTGTGGACTCTGCCACAGGCAGCAGAAAGCCAGCTTCCAGGCTGACTGGGTTCTGCCTCCTCTCTTCCTCCCAGAGGCCCTCAGGCCACATAGCTGCATCCCGTCCCTGTAGCCCCAAGTTCCATCCACCCACACCTCTGTGTGCCCCTGTGGGCAAGCTGGCCCCCTCCTCAGTTGCAGGCAGGGTCCACGGCGTCCTTCCTCAGCACCACTGGCTGGGCACACAGAGTGCTGAGAGGACCAGCTGTGGCATGGTGGGCACAGCCCAGAACAGCAAGGAGGCCCCCTCCCCAGCCTGCCCAAAGCCAGGCAACTAACAGCCACAAGGCCCCTGTTATGTGGGTGTGAGCAGGTCCTTCTTCATTTCTGGGGGGATGAGGAGGGAGAGGAGGGAAGTTGGGGTAATGCACCGCTCTAGCTCTTTTCCTGTTCTTAAATGATGGTTCCCAGGGCCCTCCACAAAGTAGACGCTAAATCGGTAGACATTTGTGAATGAATCAAGGGAGGGATGAATGAGTGTGTGTGTAGGACGCAGATGTTGGGGCGTCAGGGGGGGCACTCCAAGAGGAAGGAACTGCACCGACAAGGTGGAGGCTGGAATTAGTTCGGCCAACGCAGGCATGGGGTGGGGGGTGATCCCAGCAGGGGGTCACAGGGGAGCCGGGGCAGTTTTGACTGTGGACAGTGGAGACACGGAGTGGCCCTGAGTGTGGACTTTGTGCCGCAGGCAGCGGGAAACCAGAGACGACAACTGATCCCCACAAAATCCTCCAGCGCCATTCGCCACCAACGCGGGCGGCGCTCAGCCATCTCTGAGTAACGAAGCAGCTTCTTGCCAGGAGGCCAAGAACAGGGCCAGTGGACACGCATGGCCCACACTGGCTCGCTGGGGCTGCTGGCACGCGCACCCAGAGGCAGCCATCTGGACCTCAGACCCACAGTTAAAAGTGTGAGAACAAACACCCCCTCCGGTAAAAACATGGTCTTCCCTCTGAAGGGAAGCAGCAGCAGCTGATTCTTCGGTTAGACTCAAGAAAGGACTTCCTAAGAGGGGAACTTCCTTCCCCTAAGCTCTGCAGCCGGGATGGATGGCCCCTCAGAGGGAAATGTGGAAGCAAGGCGCCCCGGGGGGGCACTCAGCGCTGCATTATTAAGTGCCTGCTGGATGCTCTGCTCTGGCCGCTCACAGCGGAGGAGCCTGATGCGGGTGGGGTTCGTGTGTGATGAGTGGTGCAGGTGGCCGGCAAGGGGGAAGGTCAAGGCTGCCCAGCAAATGTGTGCGTGGGGTGGGGAGGGTGCTGAGGACCCAGGTGCTCGGCAGAGAAGGCACCAGCTCCTCTGGTCTCCTGGGCAGAGGGGGTGGCAGGGACCCGTCACCAGGACTCACCAATCACCCAACACACCTGTGCGCTGAGCCCCCTGGCTGCCAACCGGCACAGTTCAATAACCCTAAAACCCGAGGCTTCGTCCCCCACGGCTCAGAGCTGCGGTTGGAGGGGCCGCCGCTTCATCAAGCCTTCTTAAAGAACCCCTTCCACTCGGCATGGTTCTCACAAGGGCATTTTGGCTTAATGTCTATTTCTCTGTTTATGCCTGTGCTATATTTAGCCCCCTCAGAGAAGGAAGAAAATCGTTTTTTAAAGATGCTACCGACCCCGCAGATGAACACTTCCCAGCACCATAAAGGCTGGGGGTGGCGTGGGGGTGGGAGCCAGGAAGGACTGGAAGGTGCCTAGAGGGGAGGCCTGGCAGCCACGCGGGCCTCTCTGCCTGCCAGGGAGACGCAGGTGTGGGTCGGGAAGCAGGTGAGAAAAATAAAATGGGCGAGCGGGAGGGTGCGTGGCACGGCTTCGGCTGGGAGTATTCCATTCGGCGGAGCGTGGTAGGTGGGGGTTCTGCCCCGTTCTTGCTCCTCTGCGTCTGCCCCAGGAACACAAGCTGGTGACAGTCAGGGGGTGTCATGGGAGGAGATGCAGATATTGCACCCCGTAGGAGTCTGGGCCACGTTCCCTCGGGGGTCCTGCTGAACCCTCTCTCTGAGCAAGTTGTCAGTAGCGCACAAGTGCCAGGCAAAGGCTCCCTTTGACACACCCTGGTATTCATTCTCATGGTCATTCATTCATTCGACACCACTACTGCATCCCCACTGGGTGACAGCTGGCTGTGGTGCTTGTTGCTGGGAATTCGGCCGCAAAGCACCCTGGACCTGAAGGCCAAGCCCAGCTATGTGTCGGGCACAGAGCAAGCGTGGCAGCCACAGAGCCGGCTGGACAGACCTTCCCAAGGCACCGACACCCACTGGAATGGGCCAACTGGGGGGTCAGGTTCCACTCTGGCTTCACAGCCCCAGGACACTTCCTGGCTCAACCCACTTCTGTGTCCCACCATAGCTGTGCCCATGCACAGCCACACACATGAATACACACATGCACGTGGGCACCGGTGTGTCCTTCCCTAGTCTGCACCTGGGATTCCTTCTGGTTTTCCGCCCTGGCTCCACCTTCGTCCCCTGACCTGGTAGTCTGCAGCTGCCCACCGCGGTGACCGCTGGGGAGACTAGAGGGGTGTAAACATGTTGGCCTGGAAAATGCTGTCCAGGCAGCAAGGAGAGACTTCTCTGCATACCCTGGATGTGCAGGCACCGGCTGGAGAGGGTCCCTGGATCATGTAGGGGCAGCCCCTCCTGGGCTGCAGCTACTCTGATGAGAAAATGTCTGTGACTTCCTGCACCTGGCCTGGCTCTCAGCCCTGTGTGCTTGCTGCCGCCCTGGGGACTGCAGAGAGGACGGGAGCCTTAGCAAGCTGAGTCCTGGTTTTGACTTCTGGCTCTGCAACTTACGAGCCATGTGACCTTAAGTTCCCTGGCCTCTGGGGGCAGGGATAGGGGGATAACTGAACCCTATTCCTAAGTGGCCCTGGGAACTCAGGAGATGATGTGCATAGACTTTTCCGAGGTGGGCCAAGAAAGAACAAGTGCCCCACATCTCATAAATGGTGCCCATGGTCTTTCTGACCAAAGGGGGGGGTCTATGAGTAATGACTATTTGACCCCTTGGCACAAACCTGGCTTGGGATGTGCAGTTGGGGCCTCATGGAGGTTTGCTGGACTGATCAACTGTGCCCCTCCCAGCTCCTCCTGCGTGCACCGCAAGGGCTGGCGAGGT